GCTAAGGACTGAGGCAGAAGTGGGGGGGGGGTCAAAGGGATACTCCGTGAGGATTCGGCCTCTTTGCTGGCCCGGAGGACAGAGGAAGGGAATCCCAAGCCGAGGCACGCAGTAGCCTCTAGGAGCTGGGAATCACACTGCGTTTATATCCAGCAAGAAACCAGTTCTGTAACCACAAGGACCTGAATTGTTCCAAAAAAGCCAAACAAGCAGGAAGCCGATTCTCCTAGAGCCTCTAGAAAGGAGTGTAGCCCTGAGGACATGTTGATCTTAGCGTTGAGACTCACACCTTTGCAGACACTGTGACTCAACCTACCATTACCCACAGCGTGGTGGGAAACCGCGACGAGGGTTTTAGACAGGGGGGGGGGTGATAGGACCAATTTGCAGCTGGGGGAGGAGGCTGGAGAGGGGCCCGGGGTGGAAGAAGGGAGAGAAGTGTGTAGTTCGGAGAGGATAGTGTCTGAGACGGTGGTCGATGGTGGTGGGGGTGGAGAGATTCCAGACTGACTGGAGGCAGAACGGATGGGGTTTGCTAATGGACTGCACGTAGGTATGGCAGCAGCAAGGGCGGATGGTTCCTAGGTTTCCGACTTGAACTCCGTGAACAGCGATACCACTGGCATAAATGAGTCAGCCTGGGGCCGGTGACACACTTTGAGGTGAGCGTGGGCGACTAGAAAATTGTAACACGCCAAGCTTGACACAGGAGACACCTGAAGGGAGACCACAAGCAGGCAGATACGTTTTTTTTTCTTTTTTAAAAACCTTTATTTATTAAGTAATCTCTACCCCCAACACGGGGCTCAAACTCACGACCCCGAGATCAAGAGTCGCACGCTCTGCCCACCCAGCCAGCTGGGCGACCCAGCCAGATGTGTTTTTGAGCCTGGAGTTCGGGGGAGAATCTGACCCGTAACCACATAGCTGGGGGCCATAAGCACGTAGATGTTATTTCAAGGCACTGAGAACCTGAAGAGAGCCCACAACAGCCCCGAGGAACCCGAACTCTAGACGCTGGGTGCAGTGGGAGAAACACGGCAGAAAGTCCTGATTCCAAACTTGTATAAATACACGCCTATTACATACATATTTAAAGATGGGCAGTGTGGGCGCGTATCTATGGGGATGACAGTCCAGAGCTCCAGAATTCAGGAGCGGGCTGAGCAAATGAACAGAATTTCCGAGACAGGGTAAGGGACAGGCCGCAGGCCTCAGGCCTCAGGTGCAGGGCGCAGCTTCCAGCAGGAGGAATTCAGTGCAGACAGAGGTAGGTTTGCCTGGTTGGTACAGGGAAGCTGATGTCTGCCGCCTTCCATTTGCTCAGTGAATCATGAAAAGGCCAGAAGAGGGGCGTGGGAGGGTTAAAGGTGTAACAGCTGACGTGGGGAAGGCACAGCAAACGTTAACAGAGACTCAAAGTCGGATCCTCTGGTGATGCTCTGTCTGAGGTTGACAACCATTAAAGTGAAACCAACCAGCCCGACCGTGTGGTTTTCTTCTGGAAATATTCGGCTCTTAGGTGCAGGGAGGGCAGATGGAAGGGCTCGCCGAGGTCCGGGGTCCTGGACAGGGAAGGGCCCCCGACGGAGAGGACGAAGAGTGAAGGGGCAGTAGAAACGGACCCTGGGACCGCTGGCGCGCGCTGGGAGCCAACTGATGGGCTGGCGTCTTGCTGGGTGAGCTGGGAATTAGGACCGCGGCGTGTATTTCAGGAAATGGCCTGGAACCGGTGCTCGGCAAGCGCCAGGTTGTGCGGCCGGCGAGAACCCAGGCCTGGGCCTGCACCGTTAGCTCCTAGCGGGGCCTCGCCGGCTGACAGTAACTGAAAGCAGCGTTGAGGGGACTCCAGGCCTGGGTCTGTCTAGGACGTTCACCTTCCCCTCCTCTCTGCTGGGGAATGGCGTCTACACGTGAAGACAAACTGCCGAAAGGCGTGCCTACCGAGAAGCGGGATGCCCAGAACTGGGACAGGCGCTCCAATACTGCACAGGCGGGAGCGTTCCGAACAACTGTATTTGTTCCCTGCTCTGGTCTCCCATGGGACAGGGGCGGGGTCTTCTCCCCTCTCTCCGGGTCCACTCTTCCTCCTCTGCGTCCTCCCAAGTACAGACCCGACACGCAGTTTCCCCTTTGGCTCTTTTCTGCCTCTAAACTGGGGCTGTTTCCAGGCTCTGGGCCTCACCCCTGCAGGGGCTGCCCGCCCGGCATCTCTCTCCCGCCCGCCGTCTTCGCGCCATCCGCCAGGGGCCTCCGCGGAGCGGGCACAGCCCGAGTCACACTCACGGCTCCCGTCACGGTCCTCTCTTCTCCCGGGTCTGCACTTGACACGTGTCCGGTCCACCCTGCCCTCCTCCTCCTCCCGTATCCCTCCTGGACTCGCGTGCGTAAAAGCCGTGTTTGGCAAAGGCTGACGTTTGTATGGTGCCTACTTTTTTTTGAAGGGAGAGGCACGGAGGTTATCGGTGAGAAAAAGTTGTAAAAATAGAACCTCCACAAAAAGTACCCAGGTCTATTGTGAAATTCATAGCACAGGCAATTAGTCACTGTCAACACCCGTTTGTGGGTTGCTTCCTCAGAGTCCACTTACCTCTTCTGCTAACGGGACCCTGATTTTTCCCACTGGGGTATTTCCGCTCTCAGCTGCTAGAGGCATCCTGAGCTACATCCCAGCTCCAGGGGTGGGGTGGGTGTTCACGTTGGCTGAAGACCGTCCTATCTCCTCGACTCCAGGGACACTTCAGCGTTGGGCACAAACTTTCACTTGGGCACTAGGAACAAAGCCTAGGACTTAAAAGCAAGGGGAAGAGGCTGTTTTCCTTCCTCTGGACAGGGAGCAGGTCTGCTGACACAGGTGGGAGGTGGAGGGGCTGCTGTGTGTGGACTGAAGAGAAGTGGGCGATGGTGGGGGGAGAGCAGGGAATCCGCAAGAAACCCCACCTCTGGTGACTCCGAGTAGCTGGACCAGTCCTTACTTAAGACGAGTGCTTCCTCTGGCCTTTCGGTCTTGAGAGCTCCCGGATTCCTTACATCTATCTGGGTCCAGCTCCCGGCACTTGCAAATCGAGAGTTTCAGCCTGTAAATTCACCATCCCACCGCCCCGAGAGAACCTCTCCCAAAATTTGGGGCTTAACTTCTCCCATACGTTTTAATGCATCTACATATACACAATCCACCCCCCCCACCTTTTTTTTTTTTTTTTTTTACTTTTACAAAATTGAAAATATTTACTCTTCTGAAATACTTTGGTTCATTTTGTTTACCTCTTTTTATGTTAATCCACTCTATCGTGTTCGTTTTTAATTATCGGATACTATCCCATTCTAGGAATATACAGTAACAAATTCCCATTAAGGAACATTTACATGTTTTTCCATTTCAAATCATAAAGGTGCCCTTCTTATGCACCAGTCCTTTTCATTCTAGAAGTGAATTGCCGGATCTTAGTTTGTGTACATTCTTAAGGCTCTGATGTCTTTTACCCGACCGTCCTCTGAAAGGAACTTGTGTTCCCGTCAGCATGGAGACGGTGTGCCTGCCAGGTAGGACGGGAGTAAAGGTAAAACGCTTGCCCAAAGGAAACAGTCATTTGTTTGCTGAGCATTTACGGAGTGTTCCTTACTTGCACCATAGTGGGACAGGTGCTGGGGATACAGTGGTGACCAGACTCCCAGACTTGTGTCTGTATTCTTCCTTCTCCAGGTAGGGTAGCTTTGGGCAAACATCTGGCTTCACGGATGAATTAACCAACAGCACACGTCGTGACGCGAGAGTCATGACATTGGAGAGAATGCTCAGGAGACAGTGCAGTTCTGTCTTGGCGTAGATGGCGACGTCGCTGCATGGGACGCTGTTCCCCCTCATCTTATGTCCTCCCCAGTACGGGTGCGGCTAGAAGCCTGGAACCCCACTCCCCGGGCCAGCAGGGTTCTGCCGAGGGGCTGGAGGAGAGGGAGACGATGGAAGGCAGGAGCGAGGCAGCAGCTGCTCTGTTCTGAGGAGACACAGGGTCCCGCCAGGGCAGCAGCAGGAGACAACCCAGGCAGCACGGGGACAGGGCACGTTAGCAGGGCCACAACCGCCTCCCCTCAGTCACTCGTTGCTCGGGAATCCAGCCTTCCTGTTCGCGTCTTCGATCCTGTTTAACAACGTTGTAACCTAAATCCCTAGGTTGAATCCTCTCTTCCAACTCTCTGTAATGGTTTTGCTTTCCTGGCGGACAGAATGGCCCAACACTCAAAACTATCCTTGAAACCCTGCAGGGTGTGAGCTGTGCCTCAGACCCACACAGCAGCCCTCCAAAAATCTCAGAGAACCGGATTTTCCGGAAGCAGTGGAAGAGTCTGCTGGGTTTGGGGTTTTGGTTTCTTTCCAGTTGGACACCAGGTGAATTCAGTGGCTTTGAGAACGCAGCTTGTATGCAGAATACATACCCTTGAGCACTTGACTCACTCAGGAAGAGGCCCGCCCATGAAGGCGGGGACGTGCGAAGTGAAGCCAGTCTGGGAGCCCAGCGGGTCCACAAGTCCCTGTTAACACACACCTGATACTCACGCACACTGAGCACACAGAGTAACAACTGGGAAGACAGAAGGCAAGCCGGCAGGCACGTTGACGAAAACGCTCCCCTTTAGGCCGAGCGTGTACGTTGAAATCCTTACCACGAACAGTTCACGGGCCGTGACTCCACACCCTCTGCCGCGAGAGGGACCGGGGATACTGTGGTTTTATGAGAACCGTTCGTTGTGATTATGTCCAACGGCACGGAAGCATTAAGTCGACTCTTACGCGCCTCTTTCCCTGCACGCTCAAATGCACTAGAGCGTGAGTGTGCGAATCACCATGGAATGCTCCGCCACGCAAGGTATCGTCATCCCCTTCCTGTGGCCATGGCTCCTTCTCTCTCTCCTAAACATCAGTCCTGGAAACAGGTTCTCTGCCCCATTGCAAAGAAATCCAACGACACCTGGAGGGGTGCCCAAGGCACAGGGTCCTCCCCTTAATTCTTCTCCTCCCCGTCTTCTCCCTCACTGGTGTCGTCACAATAAAAGATGTCTCGGAGTAGGAACACCTGCCTGGGCGCCGCGGGAGTCTGGATTTCAGCACCTTTTTTCTCCATCATCTTCTCTAACTTTTCCTTAAGCAGAGGCAGACTGGTTTCGTAAAGGTAGTCTATGATCTCTAAAGGAAAGAAATGTAATTTTGAAATTACGCGTACAAAGCCTCCTTCCCAAGGTCAAAGGGCAGAGGGCACGGACGCGGGTAGCGGGCTGCTGCTGTTACTATGGCGAGCGTGGTCTTGTTCTAACTGGCTTACTAAGGTTCCCCCAGCCAGGTTCACCCTCAAAATCCTACGAGGTGACCCGTTCCTCAAAGGAGGACACCAAGGCACGAAGACATTACGAATCTTGGCCAAAGTCGCGGAGCTGCCAGGGGCCAACGAAGCCAGGACTCAAACCCGGGCTGCGATGTCTGCTGAATGCAGCAAGTAGCTCATCGTATGCCCCGTGGCACAGCGTCACCCCAACCAGTGGCTCCCGAACGCGGGTGCCGGGCAGACCACTGGAGGCTCTCCTGCGTGCTTGTTCGGGAAAACCCTAGCCTCCAGACCCAGCCCCGAGGTTAGGATTCGGTGTGTATGGGATGAGGCCCCGGTATGTACATTTTCCACCAGTTCCCCACAGGACTCTGACCACCTGAGTTTGGGAATACCTAAACCGCCCACGAATGGCTGCAAAGAGGGAACCGGGCATCGTACGCTTTTTCTGGAACTGTGTGCGAGCGTGGCACGCAAGCATGCGTCACGTGTGCGTGTGAGCACATGACGGTGACCCAGAAGCACTCACGGTTCCCGAGTGCTCACTAAGCACCAAGCACCCTGGTGACCACAATTCATCTATTATCTCATCTGGTACTTTTGAAGGTGCTGTCAGGTGGGGGTTAGGATTTGACAATCTTTATACCATTTTACAGCCGAAGAAGCCGAGGTTCCCAGAAGTCACGTGCCCGGGGTCACATTATCAGCACGTGCCATCACTTGCTGGCTTCTTAACAATTCGAATACAGTACTGGAAATACTGACCTGGAAAAGTCTTCTTCTGCCAAAAGGGAACACAGGTAGCTTTCAGCTTATAAAACTTAGTTTGAACGTAGGATGGCGGGACATCGCTTTAGAAAGGCAAAGACAAAAAAAAGATAGCATCAGTTTAAAAACCGGTCACTTCACTACTGCGTACGAAGCACACTGAGTCGGGAGAATCTGCAGGCGTTAAGTAACTTTCTTAGTCCTGAACGCAAAACGATCGTGCCCATAAATGTGCGATAAAAACACGACACACGTGAGGTAGCTGTTGTTCACGTGGTTAAAAAGAACACACACAAAAGGAAGAAAGTCAACAGCACGAGATGGATCCTGTTTAACTTACGAGAATTTAAATCACTGGTCAGGAACCAAGCGTAACACCAGCTAACGTAAGCGGATGCTGACCTTGTACTTGGCCCTGACCTAAGATCTTCCCATCTAAGGACAAACCACCGGCACGACCACTCTGTGAGCGTCTTGTGCCTCATTCTGGAGGTGGGGAAACTGAGGCACAGGGAAGCTGCCCAAGATCTTACAGCTAATAAGGGGGTAGAGCTGGGACTTCAACTGGGTGGTCTGACTCCAAACCCCACTCTCTTAACCACTACACCTAGGATAAATACATATCTGTCACAATCCAAAAGTAGATGTCCCCTGCTTTTTATTTTGCAGAACTTAAAAACAAAAAAAAAAGCAGATGCTTATGACGTTTTGGTGAGTCAAATGTATTTCAATTTACAATAAATCGGACAAAACCTTAATCGTTCTTTATTTCCTTACTTATTCTTTAGAGTGTGCATGCACACACGAGCAGGGGAGAGAGAATCTTTTTTATTTAAAACAACTTTTGGGGCGCCTGGGTGGCGCAGTCGGTTAAGCGTCCGACTTCAGCCAGGTCACGATCTCGCGGTCCGTGAGTTCCAGCCCCGCATCGGGCTCTGGGCTGATGGCTCAGAGCCTGGAGCCTGTTTCCGATTCTGTGTCTCCCTCTCTCTCTGCCCCTCCCCCGTTCATGCTCTGTCTCTCTCTGTCCCAAAAATAAATAAACGTTGAAAAAAAAAAATGTAAAACAACTTTTAATGTTTATTCATTTCAGAGAGAGAGAGAGAGAGAGAGAGAGAGAGAGAGAGAGACAGAGCACGAGCGGGGAAGGGGCAGAGAGACGGAGACAGAATCTGAAGCAGAATCTGAAGAAGAGCTCTCAGCACAGAGCCTGATATGGGGCTCGAACTCACGAACCATGAGATCATGACCTGAGTCAAAGTCTGACACTTAACCGACTGAGCCACTCAGGTGCCCCAAGAGAATCTTGGGCAGGTTCCACGTCCAGTGCCTGCACACTCTCTTTCTCTCTCTCAAAATAAATTAAAACAATAAATAAAGTGGAAATCACTAACTTTACTTTCCTGGACTTTTTCTTAGACAACAAAAGCACGACCTACTTGTTTCAGCCGGAAGCTAATCTAGTAGCTGAAATGGTCGGTGTCGACAGGCACCGGGCTACACACGTCCACCATGCACGACCTCCTTGGTCCTCCCTAGGGTCCTATCAAACCATTTTGTGGATGAGGAAACCGAGGCTCAGAACAAGTTAGGGAACGACATGTCCAAAGACGGCTAAAAACTGAGTACCAGGACTCAACGCCAGGTCAGCCTGACCGCGAAGTCCAAGTTCTAAGGCCCCCACGCCCGCCCTCCTCCTGCAGTGCCGGGCGCCCAGCAGGATGTTCCGCATGCCCAACCCCAGGCTTAGGAGTCACGATAAAGGATCTGGATGCTTTCAAACGAAGTAGGCAGTACCTCTCACTAGGCGGATACGCTTTCTTTACGTCCTGCCTCAATAATTCACGAGGAGGCTTTAAGACTCTGGAGAGACCGAACGTTTAGACTTCTTTTTCACTGTTTTAATTAAAACTTAAAGAGGGGCGCCTGGGTGGCGCAGTCGGTTAAGCGTCCGACTTCAGCCAGGTCACGATCTCGCGGTCCGGGAGTTCGAGCCCCGCGTCAGGCTCTGGGCTCATGATGGCTCAGAGCCTGGAGCCTGTTTCCGATTCTGTGTCTCCCTCTCTCTCTGCCCCTCCCCCGTTCATGCTCTGTCTCTCTCTGTCCCAAAAATAAACGTTGAAAAAAAAAATTAAAAAAAAAAAAACAAAAAAAAAAACCCAAAAACTTAAAGAATGTACTATTTCAAACAGCTCTGGCTAGATGCCACAGTCTCTACTTTATGGCTTTGAGATGTATCAATCTTAAGCGGGACAGTCCATTATTCAAATATGTAATTTCACTTAAAACCACTAAATGTCCATTTTAATCTAAGGAAATCGTGATGTGAGGGGACAGTGACATCACACGATACGCAAAAATTTATTGGCGAAGTCAAATTTTTCAAAAACCCGTCTGCCACTACAAAGAGAGGGCTTTGCGGTCATGAGCGCTTCTCAAGATGGTAGCTGGTGGGTGCCGGGCCGGGTCCCCTCTGGGAGACCCGACACCCTCACCTCTCAGGGACCCGTCACGTGCAGCAGTGAGTGGCCCACCCCGAGGGTGCGCTGGGAGGGAAGGGTTTGGAACCATGAGCGTGTCTGTGACTCCTAACAGGGTCTGTCAGGACAAACTTGCAATTCTCCAGCTTAAAAAAACCAAACTGATTGTTCGTTGTCTATAATCCCAAGGTGCAAATAACCACCAGAACCAGTTTCAACCCTTCCTCGTGGATCAAGGACAGCGTCACCCTTTCGACAGCCAGCCAAGTGGCAGCCCCGCCTCACCGTCCACCCTTCTAAAACTAAAGGCCACCCAACCCCTAACACCCCCACTTCTGAGAGACCGATTCCCAGACCCCCAGCTCTCAATGACCTGCTCTCGTACAGGGACTGTGCTTTGCAGGCTGGCTCCCTTGCTCAGCAAGCAATAAATTCAGGTATCGGGAGTGGTGGCCTCTGTGTTCAGTAGAAGGGATTCACGATGTCTGGGTGATAGGTAACAAAAGCTCACAGCAGAGGCAGATGGAGGCAGCTTATGAACACAGGGAAGTCTGGGGGCGCCCGGGTGGCTCAGTCGGTTCAGCGTCCGACCTCGGCTCGGGTCACGATCTCACGGTTCGTGGGTTCGAGCCCCGCGTCGGGCTCTGTGCTGACGGCTCGGAGCCTGGAGCCTGCTTTGGATTCTGGGTCTCTCTCTCTCTCTCTCTGCCCCTCCCTGCCTCGTGTGCACTCTCTCTCTAAAATGAACACGAATATTAAAAAAAAACAAAAATAAACATAGGAAAGTTCACCCTCACCCCACAGGTGAAAGATGCAAATGAACACCCCACCGAAACTACTTAGGGAAGCTTAAAGAGGAACAGGACCTTTACATGGTCTCAAAATACCTCCCACGGCCCCTTTTTATCCCCAAGAGTAAAACAGGTACTTTTATACGGGGAGGGGGAAACCTGGCAAATGCCCCCAGAGCCAAAGCGTCAAGATGATGTGATGATAAAGACGCAGGGTCACCTACGGCACGCTCCTGCCCCCAACACCAAGCCTCATCCCAAGGAGGCAGCAGAGAACCTCCCACTGTGAGGCATTCTACAAACAACCAGCCCGTCCTCGCCCCCATTTTTAATGCCCTCAAAGCCAAAGGCAGAAGAGCTTTACTGATGGAAAGACACTGAGGAGACGCATGGTTAAATGCACCGTGTAAATCTGAACTGGATCCTAAATCGGGGGGAAATGCTATAAAGGACGTTACCGGCACATTATTAGTGGGGGGAAACTGAATGTGAACTGTGCTTTGGAGCACAGCACCGTATCGGCGTCGAATTTCCTGGGCGTGGTAAGTGCGCCGTGATCACGTAATAATGTTCTCGTTTAGGGGACGGTGCCCACCACTAATCCTCAAGCGCTTAACGAAACTACTTTATTCCCTTGGAAGAGGGAGTGGGAACGGGAAAGGGAGGGCGGACGACAGAGCAAACGGAAAAACTGTTAAGAATCTATGATTTGGGGCAAAGGGTTTGTGGGATCTCTGCTCTAATCGTTTAACATGTTAGCTCCGTGAGGCTCTTAAGAGACTCCGCACACATTTCGTTCGCCCTTCCCCGGGGTCTTCGGCGAGGGGTGGCAGGGAGGGAGGGCGCAGCTGGCCCACGGCACCCAGAGCTGAGGTTCCCAGTCCCCATGTGCACAGTACCACCTACACACGAATCCCGCCTGCAGCGTGGATTTCAGCCCGGTGCTTCCAAACCTCGTAGACGGTCACTAACTAGGTCATCTCTTATCTTTTAATTAGCTTAACGTTAACTGAACGGTCTTACCCTATGGTACTAGCAAGATCTTCCCAGTCTATTTCATTAGCATCTTCCACGTTTATTTCATACAACCTGGGAGAAAGAATAAACATTAAGTTTTCAAGCGCAAGTCAGCACAATGGGCATGTTCACGGACTCCCAAACGTGGCAAGCTCGGGGCACCTGGGTGGCTCGGTCGGTTGAGCGTCCGACCTCGGCTCAGGTCATGATCTCACGGTTCACTGAGTTTGAGCCCCGCGTCGGTCTCTGTGCCGACACCTCAGAACCTGGAGCCTGCTTCGGATTCTGTGTCTCCCTCTCTCTCTGCCCCTCCCCTGCTCAGGCTCTGTCTCTCGCAGTCTCTCATAAATAAATAAACATTAAAAAAAATTTGAACACACACACACAAAAGTTCCTCAGGTCATACACGCAGGCAGTGCAGGAAGACGGGTTTGAACCTAACCTTAGCCATCTCACTGCAGATTTCTGCTGCTGGACACCTACTCTCGGGTCAGAGAGAAAGAGTTACCCAGCATCACCTCCTCTGGCTGTACCTTTCGATCAGGTTGATTTTGGCCCGCAGGGCATTCACTCCGCGGTACACATCCCGACCATTCGTCATCCTCTTGGTTAGAATTTCCGTCCTGCATGCAAAGAAGAAAAAAATATAGTGCACCTCCCGGGCTAAAGTTTCCACCGCAATTTCCCGCACTTTCCTCCACGATGTCGCCCTTACGGAGAACCACGCTGTGAGTTGTGTAGCTCATCGCTAACGTTGGCCACCTTCGCGAATATGCTTATTATTCTTCTTTTCAACTGGGAAATGATAAAGAGAGTGGCAGAAAGTTGGTGGTCAGTGAAGCTGGATGAGGGATACGGGAGTTCTGAATTTCTGTGTGCTCTGAAACTTCCATAAAATGAAGTTACAAACGGGAGGAGCACAGAGCATCGGCCCATCAGCAGGTGCTAAAGGAAACTGCAAACTCAAGATTGCTTACAAAACGGAGCGACGTAAGAAAGATTCAGTAAAGTCATAAATGATGTGGTGGCTCCCCTAAGTCCCAAAGCTAATGGCTGAAGGGAAGGGTGACCGGAGCTCCTAAAGAGAGGGACAACCCGGGGCATCTGATTCTTAATTCTGGCTCAGGTCCTGATCTCATGGTTCGAGCCCTACGCTGCCGATTCGGAGCCTGCCTGGGATTCTCTCTCTCTCTCTCTCTCTCTCAAAAATAAACATTTAAAAAAAAACCAAAGAGAGCAGCAACCCAGCTAAAAATTATTTTTTAAGTACTCATCTCAAATAGTAAAATGTGTCACAATCTGACAGATCGCTAGCTGTTCCGTTCTGGATAAGGGGGATATGCAATCCACAGATGAGTGACGCTGTCGTTCTCATTGGCCAGCCGTGTTCCTTTGAAATGCAGCATCTTGGGGCGCCTGGGTGGCGCAGTCGGTTAAGCGTCCGACTTCAGCCAGGTCACGATCTCGCGGTCCGGGAGTTCGAGCCCCGCGTCAGGCTC